GTTCTTCTCCATCGCTTAAGTTCGTTGGCAGGTCAATGTGGATGCGTGTTCTAGCTTGAGTCGGCTTGGTTGGCCCCGAATTGTATTGTTGAGGGATAGGTTGATTCGATCGTTATTGAGCTTGTTAGTGATCTAGGGAGATCNACTAGGCCAGTTAATCTGCTTTCCTGTCACAAGACACTCCAGAAGGACCAGGTCCATATAATTTGCAGTGTTCCTTCTCTCCTGTCTGGGCAGCAGACACTTGTTCACAAATTCAAATAGCACCTTGTGCTCAGGCTTCATCTCACTCTTTTGCACAAACCTAGCCTCAGGCACATCTTCAGTAGACTTGGTATCACAGAAATTCCGGGTGATTTGGAGAGCAGAAGGGAGAGAATCTAGACAAGGCCACCTTTGCCTAGTATAATCATCATATCCCTCACAGGGTATGTCTAGAATTCTTCCCAACTTAGGTGCATCAAACTGCACCTCTACTCCTCTCACCAGGCTTGTAACAACCCCATTCACCACTGTGGCATTCGCCATAAACTCTATCAGTTCTTTTCTTGCAAGCTTGCCATCCAGTTGAAGAACCATGTCCTTCCAACCCTGTGCTTCCAGTGCATCAACCAATCTTTTCATGCCTGGCTCCTCCAGGTCTTTCAGAATTCTTCCTTTCAATATTTTTCTTTTTCCAAAAAGGATAAACCTGTCCTGCTCTTTCTCAGATTCCTCTTCTTCTTCTTCTTCTCCACTCCAAGCTTCTTCTTCTTCTTCAGGAACTTTCACTTGTTTTCCTTTAACTGCAGACCTGGTTCTTTTTGCCAGGGAGGGTTCAGTAGAGATAGATTCTGAAGACTTCTTGGTAGAAGTCTTGGATTTCTTAGGTTTAGGAGTGGGAACCTCCTCAGTTGTACCTCTCTCCTGATGGACCAGTTCCATCTCTTCCTCCTCTTCTTCTGCAGCCACAGAACTTTCCAGAACTTTAGCTTTTCCCTTTTCTTTGTTCTTTTTCTTGCTTGCCTCTAAGGCTTTCTGCAACTCAGCCTCGCTTTGCCTTACCTGCTTCTGGTAGCTTTCACCTTTGGTGCTGAAGGAACAGTAGACTTAGGAGATGACACCTTGCTCTTCTTTGTTGGCTTAGAGGCAGTTGGAGCCTTTTGAGAAGAAGCTTTGCGCTTCTTGGGATCATAGCTTTCTCCAACTTTCTTCAGAATGTCAGCCAAGGTTTCTTCCACAGATGAACTAGGTCCATCTTGTTGTTCACTCAGGTTCACAAGACCTTCAGCAGCTTCTCCAGATTCACTTCCCCCTGGCTTGTTGCCACTCTCCTCAACTCCTCCACAAATTGCAAGAATTTCACCTTTCTTTTTCTTTCCCTTCCTCTTCGATTCTCCCTCACTTACATCTCTCACAGATCCCACTAACACAAACCTATCATCTACTTTCTCCACTACATCAGAAAAAATATAGCATGTATTTACCTCTTTAGGAGTTTCTTGATTTTTGTCTGATTCAGAAGACCCACGTTCTTCTCCATCGCTTGCAGAGACAAAAGCTTCAGACTCAGAACTTGAGTCAGATGATTCTTTTTCAGAGCTTCCCCCTCTTTGACTCGCTTTCAATTTTTCGTTGAGAGCTGTTCTCAAAACACCAGTAGCAACAGTCTTTCTAGCCAACATTTTCTGCCTGCGGAATCTTGGTTTAGGGTTGTCGCTAGGAGGTACAGATGAAGATGTATTAGGAGATACTGGTGGGGGAGTTAAAGGATTTTCTTGAGAGTTAGTCATGGCGGAGAATTTCTGGAGGTTTTTTTTTGGAATTTTGAAGAATTTTGGAGAGATGGAGGATGATCAGGGGTTTAACACTTAATGATGGTTATGGAGTGTAGTAGGAATATGTGGAGTGTATTTAAAGTAGAGTATGATAAGGTGCAGTAATGACAGTCTTTTGCAGTGGTCAATCAGGGGTCTAATCTCATTAGGACTCCAGTTTTTAAGAGGTAATTGATCGACGCTAATTTTAAGGAGATAATCCCGTTTTATTTAGAATTTGAAGAGAATGAAACTGGTTCAATGCACAACGGTTAGATTTTTAGGAGTTTGGTTAAGATAGGACTTCTGCTCATAATTGGAATATTTATTTTTCTAATTGTGCAAAGTATAGAAACATACCTGACCTTTTCTCATGAGCATATACTGATGAACCAGGTTCTTCAAGTAGAACTCCTCTTGATTATGCCTCATATATCAGAATAGAAAAAAACTTTGTAAGAGATCAATGAATTAATATAAACACACATCACAGGAGTATACTGATTAGAGTATGAAACTGAGTAAGAATTAGTCTAGATATTTACATAAAATCAGAACTTCTAACCAAAAAAAATGTTTTTTTTTCATTGCATTCTGAACCGGTTCCTTTTAGGTGATCTTAATCATCCCTAATTCCAACATGTTCCTTTCAAAGTTTTCCATATTCAGTGCTTTGGTGAAGATGTCAGCTATTTGTTTATCAGTAGCATAGAATTCTATTGAGATTAATCCTTTCTCATAATTATCTCTCAAGAAGTGGTGTCTAACATCTATGTACTTGGTCCTTTTATGATGAACAGGGTTCTTTGTCATACTTATAGCACTAGTGTTATCACAAAATATTGGTATGCATCCCACTTCTATACCAAAGTCTACTAATTATTGTTTGATCCACAGTAGTTGAGCACAACAAGAAGCTGCAGCCACATACTCAGCTTCAGCAGTAGATAGGGCTACCGAATTTTGTTTCTTGGTAGCCCATGATATAAGACATGAACCAAGAAAGTGGCCTCTCGCATTTGCGAGCGAAATTCTCGCATTTGCGACCTGTGCGTAATTGCCCAGACCTCGCAATTGCGACTGGAAGCTCGCATTTGCGAGCTCGCAATTGCGAGTCTCCCTTTCGCATTTGCGAAAACCACAGAAGCCAACATACCAGATTTTTAAAAAAAAAATGAGAAATGCAATCCGATGCCTATCCAAAACTCACTCGAGCCCTCGGGGCTCCAAACAAAACACGCATACAACCTCAAAAACATCCTACGGAAACAAAATAACATCATTTACATAGAATCAAGCCTCAAAGCACATGATTTTTCATTATAACTTCATAAACTTCAAACTTTAGATATTTAGGTCCGAAGCACGTCAAATGACGTCCGATTTCGACCAAACTTCACAGAAAGTGCTTACCACATATTTAAGACTTGTACCGGGCGCCGGAACCAAAATACGAGCCCGATACCATAGTCTTTTAATCAATTTTCATTTCCATTTTCCTTAATAATTTCAGATAAACAATTTCACGGAAAAATTCATATCTCGGGCTCTAGACCTCGGAATTCGATTCCGGGCACATGCCCGAGTCCCATATTTTTCTACGGACCTTCCAGGACCGTCCAATCTCGGGTCCGGGTTCGTTTACCAAAAAAGTTGACCAAAGTCAACTATAATCATATTAATATAAAAATTCTTCAAATTTTTCACGGAATTCACATATTTCAACATAAAAGCTTTCTGGCTGCGCGCCCGGACTGCGCACACAAATCGAGGCAAGTAAAAAAAAGAGGTTTTAAGGCCTCGAAAGCACGGAATGGATGAGGAAACAGGTGATGACCCTTTGGGTCGTCACAGCCCCACTGGGCGTGCTAGAATTTGTAGACAATAAATTTACGTCGAGAAAATAAAATCAAGACAAAAAAATATTGCAACAATTATAGTATTTGATTTCAAATAATTTGAGTATTACAATCTCTATGGTTCCTCTAATTCTACTTTTTCAATATAAATACAAGGGTCTTTGAGTTTGATCTTGAATTTGAATTTGATTTATCTGTCGTGAAAACTTTGATTATTTCCACAAAGTTTATCACGAACAATTAGCCTTGATCTCTAACGCCTTGTATTTGATTTGACTTTGTCCTTGTTCTTGAATACATGAAATTTGTGTTGAAGTGCTTCAACACTTGAACTTTTGCAGTTTGCAGAGAATTGTGGCCTTTGATCCACGAGCTCCCTTGTGTCTTCTTGTTATAACTTCTGGTCCATTTTCTAAGTTTTGAAGACCCCTATTTATAGTTGTAGAAGGAAAGAGTTAGGAGAAGAACAAAATATTTCCGACCAATCAAATTGAAGTGTGACAAGGCTGCATTTCATTGGCCATAACATGTCACTGGCACACGTGGCACGGTTTCATTGGCCTTTTAATTTGGCTCGGCATGCCTTGTCACTTTGACATGTGGCACGATCGTATTGGCTCTTCCATTTGAATTGGCGTGCCACGTCATTTCGCACGTGACATCAAACTAGGCCTCTAGGAAGATGTTATCTTGGGCCTGGTGTAGTGGGCTCATCATTTGTAGCCCAATTATATTGAACTCACATAATTAATTCAATTATACAAGCCCAAAATATCTATTTAGACTAATATATTAAAATATAGTCCATGTTATCTTATCGATTTAAATTCGATAAAATTTAAACGTTTACAGTTGCTTATTACTATATAACTTTATCAAAATTTATTGAGCAGCTTTTTTACTTGTGCTATCAATTATCAAGAAATTTACTTGATTAAGCTTACAAATTTTGTTGTGTTAAAATAATTTACTTATTCTCACTTTATGAATTCAAATCTATTGGTCAATTTTTTTTTTTTTCATATCCACTAGAATTCTAGAAACATGTCAAGGTAAGTTACAGAATACCATTAATTTATCGCTAGGTTAAGATGTACGGTGCTGGACCGTCGATGACGTGAAAATACTACTATTGACAAAAGCGAGGAGAATATATGCTAAATTCTCCGCTAGAACCGTTTTTTGATGTATATCCTAGATGTAACCCACGTATCTGTTAACTTCCTCCGCCATATCCACATTTTTACACACGTAATCTTTAACCGTTCTCTGTTGACAGTTCAAAATCTCACTTTATAAAGCCTGCAGTTTTCTCAAGAAGCACTCTCAAAACCTTTCTAAAAATTCCAAAGAGAGGGAAAATCCAACAAGAGAAACCAAACAATGGCACCAAAGAAGAGTAACGAAAGAGTGAGTACCACAGTCACCGCCAAGAAAATGGTCGAAGAAACTCTCCAAGTAGTTGTTACACCACTCACTGACGAAACACAAGAGAAAGAAAATAAACAACAAGAACAGGCAGAAGAAGGAGAGAAAGGGCAGAATAAGAAACCAACGAAGATCGTAAAAGAAGGCAAAAGGAAGAAAAAGAAGAGGACTAAAGTAGGTTATGGGAGATATATTTATAAGGTAATGAAGCAAGTGCATCCCGATTTGGGAATATCATCAAAAGCTATGATCATATTGGACAATTTGATGGGAGACATGTTTGAGAGAATTGCAGAGGCAGCAGCAACGTTGTCAAAGTACGTAGGGAGGACAACGTTGTCGTCGAGGGAGATTCAGGGTGCTGTGAAGATGGTGTTGCCTGGAGAACTTGGGAAGCATGCCATTGCTGAAGGAACTAAAGCTGTAGTCAGTTATGTTACTACTGTTGCTGAAGAAAACAAATCCAAGACTAAGTGAAGTGGACGTTAATTTGTTGTAGTGCTAATTATATATAGGTTTCTAAGTAGTGTTTTCTTTTACTTTGAGTTTTTTCTGTTTGTTTTCTTAACTTATTAGTGGTTAGCTTCATGTCTTAGTACGTAGCAGTAGATATTTGGAGTATCGAAATGCAGTTTGCATGTAATTCTTTCATATTCATGCACGGCAAGTAGTAGCATATCATGAATTTTTACAAGTGGTGTCCGTATATTATCACAATTCGGCTTGTATGTCAATTAGTGTCCAGACTACATGTAGCCATTACAACGTTATGTATCTAAAACTACGAATTTTTAGTACGAATATAAAATTCATGGCTATTATCTAACAATAGCCACAAAATAGAATTTCATGGCTACTCACATTTTCATAAAATTTCTTTCCAATAAAATTAAATTGGCAAAGCTAATTTCTCATTTTGCCATAGTTGCTAAGTGTTGTAGCAATAACTGCCGAAATAGCTACTACGTTAATATCAGAAACTCTTTTCTTTGCTAGCATTTCTCTTATACCCCCTGGAATTGATGTGAAGGAAGCCTGCATTTGAATCCTTGATTTTGAAATCTTGTAGGACACATTAGCAGCAAAAACGTCATATATTCTTATGGCATGCAAACATTTTGTTGAAAACTTTTCTCTCAAATGTCGGTTCATTTTAAAACAAATATCCTTTTATCATTGATCTAAAGGACATAACCTTTTATCTATCTATATAACTAGTTAAATTGCCTGTGCTTGGCGCAGTAAAACATATCTTTAACAAATTTCATTGTCGAAGGAATAAAATATAATTGTATAAAATAAATAATGTGACACATACATATGAAAAGACTATAAAAACAAATGTATAGGAAATAAATTACATATGGAGAAATAAAACAGAAAAATTCAAATAAAAGTATCTCATACTTTATAGAATAGAGGTTAATGCTCATGATATGAGGAAAAATAAGTAATGTAACCTCTTAACTTTCCTTTATAATTTCGGGAAAAAAATTTGAAGTAATTATATACATTCGGTAGTGATTACATTTAGAGGTCAATGTTAATCATAAAATCATAATTAGATACTTTTGGTCTTCAATAAGTTCTCATCTTCTTTTCCTATTTGAATTTTGCTCATTTAATATTAATAGTTGTAATAATTTTCACTAGTAACTATTTTTGCAGACTTTTGAAAATTTAAATAAGATTAAAAATTGAGGAAAAACAAAAAAGAAAGAAAAAGAACGGAAAATAGTGGGCCAAAAAGTAAAAGGAAATACTGCTGAAATTAAAGGAAAAGGGTATCCTGTTAAAGACAATATGCAGAGAAATAGTCATCAACCAGATGATTTACGGTCTTGGACTTCCATCCAACCTGTTCATTTGCTGCAAATGAAAATTCTCGTGCATTTTCTGTCGTTAACATCCCAGATGTTTGAATATTTCTCCGATTTATATTCAGTATGTTTACCTTGAAAATGGTAATTACAATTAGATTTGATTTTATGGTTCTAAAAATACATGATTTATTTTTATGCTAGTTGTTAGGCAGTAGATGCTAAGTGTGAGACTAGAAAATAAGATAAGGGCTTGAAGATAGTATGATGTACAAACCGACGAGAATCGGGGTCTCGAGCTAGCCTATGATGTGCCTCGAGGTCGAGCTAAAGCGTTGGGCTGTGGATAGCCGATGGAGAACTAACAGTTCTAAGAGCTTGATGGGGGCTCTTTATGATCAATGATGAGTAATAAATGAAGAACAATCAACGAAACGCAATAAATGTAAGCAATGTAATAAATATAAGCAAATCAAAGGAGAATATGTTTAAGTTAGAGAAGAGAATGTTCTTGTTCTTGTATTGAATATGATGTGTGTTACAAAATGATAAGGGTCCCCTTTATATATGAGGGGGAATCCCAACATAGTACAGATGCATTTATTACAAAGATACGTGACTGGTACAACCATTTAATGCCACGATACGGGCTTGTACTAGCCTAATAGGCTTTGTCAGCTTTAACCACGTGCCTTGGGAACTTCTCGTTTGTCCATCATAACCGCCTACTTGCACTGCCCCGAGGTCGAACATTGAGAACCCTCGGGGTCGAACCTTGAGCTGAGCCTCGAGCCTTCTGGGGACGGGCTTACGAAGTGCCATAATGACCACAAAATTGGACTCTCCGATTTTAGCAGTATACAGATAGTCCCCGCGTTTCTTAGAATGAAAATGATAAGAAACGGTCTTGAATTCTTGCCTCTTCGATACTACCATCATGACATCAGCCCATCAGCGCATTAAATGCCATGACTCAAAGACTGTGCACGGGTCGCTATCAACACGACTATTGAGAAGCCCACGAACCGTTATTGGTTCGACTCTTCCGTTTCTCAAACGTTGCCCAAATGGTTTCTATAAATACCTCAACCGCTTATCATTCATACTTTTACAATATCTTAAAGTTTCCAGAGCTAAATTCACCATCTTCTGCATTCTTCTCCTTTCTGTGCTTGCCTCTTCATTTTCTTTCTTAGAAAATCCTTTTTACAGTTATGGCTAGAACCTCTACAACAATACCTCATAAGGAGGGCACCACTTCTTCGTTTCGCCCGTCCAAGGGCAAACTAAAAGTACCTCCAACTATCGAGCAATGCACCCCTGGCCAATTCGATATGATCTCCGATTTTACCATCGAAAATCCCCCGTCTACACCGGGCCGATGTGAGCACGTGTGGCGGTATATCAAAAGTACCTCCAAAAGTACCTCCAACTATCGAGCAATGCACCCCTGGCAAATTCAATACGATCTCTGATTTTACCATCGAAAATTCCCCTTCTACACCGGGCCGATGTGAGCACGTGTCGCGGTATATCAGCGTGGTGACTGATACGAAGTGAGTAAAGAAAGACTGCCGATGGGGGGAGGCAGTACAAGTAGAGATCCCCAATCCTGAGGAAAGTATAGTAGACCACAAAGCTGGCTTCCTCAGCGTATATACATACCCCTTTACTCTAGGTCCCGTAGATTTTTCAAATCCTTCTTCCCCGTCGATAGATCCGGTGATTCTTCACTTTTGTCGTGAGTACCGAGTGACACTCGGTCAGATCTATCCTTCTTTCTGGAGGATCGTTTACATGCTCCGGTATTTCTCCAACCGGATCGAGGGTATGACCTTCACCCTCGATCACTTCGTCGGATTATATATCCTGTCTCTTCCGAGGTTTGATCATGCTTCATCCTCAATTCGCTAAGACGTTCTTTTCGAGCATCGATGAGGAAAAAAACCGGGAGTGGATGAGCCGGTTTGTTAGAGTAAGGACATCGGACATCATCCCAGCTGATAGGATGCTATTCCCGGAGGAATGGAACATGAAGCGTAAGTGTCCCTGTCTCGAGCACGCTTTATTGCCCCTTCTTTCCCATTCGGAAATGATCTTCTTTTGACTATGCAGCCACCGCTTTTCCTTACAACAAACGTGTTTGGCGTGATTTGGCCAAAACGCGGTGGCAGGCCAAGAACTATGGTATGCTTTTTATCGCAATCTTTACCAGGTTCCTTATGAGTATTCTTTGTGGTGGTGAGTTATATACATCGTGCTTATGTAGGCCTCGGGGAGGGTATGTCGATGAGACGGTCTTCCCATGGTGAAGAAGGGACCTCGAAACCCGACAAGGGTAAGAAGAGTAAGAAGGAGGCGTCGGCCGAGTCTCCCAAATCAGAAAACCCAAAGTTCGCAGGCCTTGGACCAACACCACGGTCTCGACTTCGGCTGTTGTGGCAAGTCCCCATACTAAAGATGAAGGTGATGATGATGATGATCGCCCTTTGGCACGAAGGGCAATACGGGGTGCGGATGCTCCACAGGTCGTTGGGCGCAAGGCAGCCGAGTCGGGGATGGCCGATGTGGACCTAACCCGTGCTGAGGAGACCCTCGAAGAGGGTTCGGGTGCAGTCCCCAAGCTTCAAGTCGGACATGGTACAGTCTGTACCGATGAAACCTTTGCTGGAGATTTCGGAGGGCCTGAACATGAAGTTTCTCGGGGTTGAGACGAAACCCTTACAGAAATTGATGTCCTGGGTGGGTTCAAATTGGGCCCTTTGTTTTCACTGGGGGAAATTAGGGATGCCCAGGACCCGAGTACCGCCAGTGTGGGGGTCTCTTATGGAGGGAAGATATGGTCGGGGACTACCTTGCCGGTGTCAACGAGGACATGGATATCGATGCTCCCGTTGCTCTCGAGGAGGCTGAGAGGCTTCAAAAGCAGGTGATACTCTTGACATACTATTTGAGCATCAAATTTTTACCCTTGACTTTCTAACTTCTCCGTTTTGTTGCAGGCTAAGAAAATGTATGACCATGCCTTTTCTAGGCTTCCAAATGAGCTTTCATGATGTGGGAAGGAGCTCGAGAAGCTCACCTCGGAGCTAAAGGAGTCGAAAGTCTCCTCTGCCCGAAAGGGGGATAAGTTGAGCGGGCTTCGGGCGAGTTTAGAGGGAGTGTGCTAGGAAAGGGCTGGCCTTGCTGAGCACGTAACACGGCATTCGTGAACTAATCTTTTTATTCTTGTAACTTGGTGTTCATTATCTTGATTTTTCTTTCCAGATTAGGCAAAGGGATGCCCTGGTGTGGCGACTTCGGGAAGAGGTTGTAGCCAAGGATACGGAGATCCTCGAGCTGAAGAGGCAGAATGAGGTCGTGACCTCGGAGAGAAACCTTTTGCGGTGGGAGTTGGCATCGGCCCAGGATCTTCTTCGAAGTGCTCAAAAGGAGGCTGCTGCACTATCTGTGGCCAAGTCTGAGGCCGATGAAAATGCGTCTTCATACAGGAAAGATGCCGCCACCGCAAATGATCGAGCCAGAGAGATATCCAAGAAGGTTGAGCAAAAGGTGGCTCGGGCCGTTATTCATGCTTGTTTGCAAGCTAGGAGGCAGGCTCTCAAGGAAGAAAGCGCCAAAGGTGCCGATCTCTCTGTTGAGATTGAGGAAGCCCGAACCTTGGAGGAAGAATCATCATTTTCGGCCACTTCGGATGAGGATTCCGGAGATGATCCAGACAGTAACAAGGGTGAAGAATAGACTCACGTTGTCTTCCCCTTTTCGTTTTTGTATATGGATTTCTCGGGGGAAGGGCTTTGTAAAGACACCCCTTGTAAATATATTTTTGGGAATGAAAAAAGATTCTTCTGCTTCAAGTCTTTGAGTTTTATATTTCAGCGTTTACGCGAAGTTAGCCTTTGAATTTTGATGTTGGCTCTTCGGAGC